TTTTTAATTAAGCAATAAGGCTCGATGGGGCCTGGCTGCTGCCTCATAAAGCCGCTCCCGGGGTGTGGGGAGGCATTTGGTCCAGATGAGTGCCTCAAATCAGCCTGGAATGTGATTAGATGATTACTCCCCGGAGTTAATACAAGATGATCTTCCCCAGAGTTGTCTTATTGCTATTATAAAAAGTCTGCAGGCAGGAGGGGAGCTCTGCTGCTTGGAGAAGATGAAAACACCGATTCTGGCTGTCAGGGCAGCCATCGGGGCTGAGTGCCTGAACCCCACACACACCTGCTCCAATGGTGGGGCCCACGGCTGGCCTGCAGGGCTGGGTGGATGCCAGCATCTTTCAAAATAAATGGGTCCCTGTGCGCAGGGAATAGAATGTTTCCATAGAGAAGCAAGGGGGCAAGAGGCAAGGAGATGTGACTCTGAGATACTTCCTCCTCTCCTGTCAGAAGCTACATACCATCATGTTCACCCCCAGGGCAGCTCAGTGCATCTCACTCATGCTACAGACACTAACCATATTTTCAGCCTCCTAAATCTCTCTCTCCTCTCCTTTCTCTTTCTCTGTAGCTTCCCAGGGGAGAGGATTCTCACTTTCTGAGTCATGCGCTGACCTATGACTGGATGTGCTGGATCTGGACAATAGACGAAGGAGAACAGAAAACTAACGACACGAGAGAAGTGAAGTTGGTCCACATAATAAAAAGCTGAGGTGGGAAAAGATGAGGAAGAAAAGGAACAGGCAGCTGCCTGGCTGTGTGTCAGGGAGAATTTGGAGGCCGGGAGACCAGAGTAGGGGAGGAAAAGAAACCTTGGAGAGCTGCCACGGTCTACTAGGAGGCGGAAATGAGCAGTGATGGAGAGAAGGAGTTTTGAACAGTTGCTGAACCGGAAGACTGTGTTTTCTCTTGTGACATTTCCTCAAGAGTCTGACTCTATATTTGGAAGTTCTCTAAAGTACTTCATGGCTGTGGCCATCTTTCTTTGACCGCCACACACACACAGACTGAGCCACGTGGGACCTCAGTTACATCTGGGTTACACTAACAAGGCTGAAGGCAAAACTGGAAGACCTAGGGATTGGAGGGTTAGACATAGGAATCCCTAGGACAAGGATTTGGACCTGCTTCTATACAGTGTAGACATGAATGCTACTGCAGGATGCAGCCAGAAGGAGGCGGAGGTAGACCCGGTGAGGTAAAGGTTCATTCGCACACATAAATAGCGAAGAGCAAAAGCTTTGGAGCTGGACAGCCCTGGATTAGACAGTCAGTTCTAGTACTTTCTAGGAGGATGGCTTGAGAACGTCACTTTTCTCGTGTGCAAAATGAGATTGAATATGACATTGATAGTGGAACTAACTTTGTTGGGATGTTTCCAGGCTCAAGTGGACAAGAGCCCTCAGCCCACTGCCGAGCACATAGAAAATGCCCAGCAAGTGCTCACTGGTATCACTATTGTTAACTGAAAGCTGCCCATGCCTTATGAGGATCCCACTCAAACACCATTTTTAAGGGGCTCCTAACTCAGGCCTGTAAGTCAGAGGTCACTTTCATGACCTCTAAGTCCACAAGATCTGTTCGGGACTCCCCTGAAGATGGATGGATTTCAGAGGAGTCTTCTCCTTGGTAACTGTGCTCTGGGATACTAAAGCAGAGGCTGGGGATAAAGAAGGAGGATTTTAGATGAGAAATTCACTATCTTTTCATGCTAGAGAAAAATATTAAATTGAAGCAATGGAAAAAGATTGTTTTGGCAATATTTGTGTGCCTAAAGATTGTTTAGCAAACACTAATGATATGAGGAGTGGATGTAACGATATTATCATTAAAAAACAGAATTCAAGGGACACCTGAGTGGCTCAGTAGATTAAACATCTGAATCTTGATTTTGGCTCATGGTTCATGAGCTCTGAGTCAGGCTCTGCGCTGTCAGTGCCCAGCCAGCTTGGGATTCTTGCACTCATTCATTGTCTCTCTCTCTCTCTCTCTCTCTCTCTTTCTTTCTCTCTCTCTGAAAATAAATAAATAAACTTAAAAAGTAGAATTTAAGGCAAATACACTTAAAATAGAATTTAAGGCAAAATGTTTTTTAAAAAAATGTCTTGGGGCACTTGGGTGGCTCAGGTGGTTGAACACCTGACTCTTGATCACAGCTCAGGATATGATCTTGCAGTTCATAAGTTTGAGCTCTGCATCAGGCTCTTCACTGAGAGCTCAGAACCTGCTTGGGATTCTCTCTCTCCCTCTCTCTACCCCTCTGCTGCTGGTGCTCTCTCTCTCTCAAAATAAATAAACAAACACTTAAAAAACTTTTAATTTTTGATTTTGATAAAATGCATAATAGATAACATTTGGAGAACATCAGCTAGGCTAATGAAAGGGGCTTCAAAAGAGAATGATTTGAATTTTGATGGGTTAAGAAAAATTGATAAAATAATTAAATGTTTTTGCAGAACTAACTCTTATGACCAAGTAACAAGAATCAAACATTAAATGAAGGAAATCCTACCGAGTGATCAGACATTGTGTCTGAAAACATATGCCTTCTCCAAACCAACATGACTCAAGATTTGTTCACTCTAAGAATGTTCAGGCAGTTATAAGCATAACCTACGTTTTGTTAAATGGAAGATAAACACTCTCATAATTTTATTTCATTTTTGAAAGTCAAGTCACTTTTTTTTTCCTTTTTTATTTTCTTATTGTGAGTTGACTCACTTTCAGGGATTTGTGTCTGAGAGTCGTCGTCCTCCGTTAACAAGGACCCCGTGCATGTATAATGAACCGAGGTATGGATGTTAGGTTTCTTTCTCCATCAGAAAATCTAAAGGGAAACAGGTCCCATAAACAGCAGACACATGCAAGCTCTTACAAATGCAACTGTGATGCCAGAGTCCAGAGATCCCTCTTACATAGAACAGCCTCTGCATATAGTGAGTGTGGCTGAGGCAGTTGGCCTCAGAATATTTCTGTGAGCACAGCTAACTCTAGCTGTGCTTCTAAGGGGAAACTCAAATCAACACAAACAAGTATTGAGCAACCACTGTGGGTGTGCACATGGGGAGTGAGCCCAAGGCCTTGATCCTCAGGGCCTCAGTTTCCAGGGAGGAAGGGTCACAGAAAGACTCAGGATGCTGAGTGACAGAGCAGGAATGGACTCAGCAGGGGTGCTGTGGGGTATAAAGAAAAGTAGATGTGCCTCAGCCTCAATATGGGATCCAGGGGCACCTTGCAGCCGGAGAGGGGTGGAGGGTTGGGGGAGGGGAGGACAGTCCTCCTGAGGCCTGAAGATAGGTGAAATTCACAGGGAAGAGTGTTCCAGAAAACAACAAAAATCCAGATATGAGAGAAAGACAGACCACCTGTAGGCAGGAAGCCGGAAGACTGCCCATTGAGAAAGAATGGATGCTGACAAAGAACCACTCCCAAATCCAGAATCAGACCTTTGGGCTTCAAAGCCTCTGAGGGCTCAGGGAGGAGCAGCTTTACCAGCCACAGGTATGTGTAGAAACCACAGCTTTCCCTGACTGTCCAAACCTGGCTACAGGGTCAAGGGTGGGGGTGGGGCGGCCACAGAGCCCTGCAGCCCCTGCCCCTGGGCTCCTCTTCCCCCAAGGGGCCTCACTGACCTCTGTGGCCCCTCTGTGCAGGGATGGAAGTAAAAAGGGCCAGGCTTACCCGCTGCACTCTGACCTGAGTAAGGATGCAGGCCAAAGCTCCAACATGGAAGTGAGATCTTCCCAAGAGCTGGGCAGGAACAAACGGGAACACAGATGCAGTCATCATGACGGTTGTCAGGTTGCCATCATGTGTCTGGAGCTGGCAATGAGCCAGACACTTGACAGAACTGCTACAGGACAATCTGCTTGAGTTGGTGGTTTTGCTATGTTCATTTCAGGTAGAGTTTCTCAAGAGTGGCACTGTCGACGTTTGGGCTGTAAAATGTTTTAATATGGGGGCTGTCCTGTGCATTGAAGGACATTTAACAGCATCCCTGGTCACCACCCACTAGAAGCCAGGAGCATCCCAAGTTGTAACCAAAATTGTCTCCAAACATTGTGCAACCTTCCTGGGAGCAAAATTGCCCACAGTTGAGAACCATGGATTTTAAGCATGAATCTCATGAAGAACATCTCCCGATTCTCCAAGAGACCCAGAAGACTGACCTACCCACAGAAGCATCAAGGTTGGTTTATATGATGAGAGATCCTATAATAATTCATGGGGGCTGTATTGTGGATTGAAAAAGAATCTCCATCATCTGCAAGTTTCCTTTCTAGACTGACAACTTAAAAAGGTGTCCCCTCTAGACTGGACACAACTTGGAAAGTGAAGTGAAGGTTAGATTTTGGCTGTCTCTCATCTCTGCTGAGCACTTTGTGCAGTGAACAACCTGCTCAACTGTATGCAATGACCTTGTAAGGAAAACTGCCTTCTGGGCTCAGAACTGGGAAATATTCCAAACCAAAGGCAAATAAATACATTCCGGTTTTAGTTAGATGCAGTGCTGCCCATTGGGAAAGCCTGTTCTATGCTTTACGTGATGAATTCAGGAAAAAATGTAAATTGAGCAAGAAAGCTTGATTCCAGATAGTCAAACGCTCTTTGGCCAAGTGAAATCCTGTCCCTAATTGACACTGACAGTAGCCAGAGACCCCATGTAACTAGTACTTATTTCAGGGAGGGGGTGGGGGAAGGGTACATGGGTTCAAGGCAGTCTCAATACCAGAGAATGAAAACCAGAAGGGACTCACTTTCTTAAACAGGAAACCAATACTTCAAAACCACTCCCTGGTCACAATGCAGACAGCTGCTGTGTGCTTGCATTGCCCTGGAACGCCTCTGGAGCACTAATCCACACACTCTGAGCGTGGCTGATCCCTCCCAGGGAGAAGCTGCAAATTCAGTGTTTGACCTCACACACAGTGCCCTGGGCTCGAGGTGCTGAGGAACCCCCAGCCCCTGACTGGGAGGGGCTACAAAGCTTTGAAAAGCCTGAATGGTGGAGACAAATCAGCTAAAAGAGATCAAAGTGGCTGGCTGGGGGAGGACAGGAGGAGGGAGAGATCCAAGGTAAGCCTTTGAGTGCTGTTTTGTTTGTTTTTTTGAACCTCCAAGATTTAATTTGATGAAGCATTTGGGAGTTTTTGTTGCAACTGGGGGGAGGGAGCTGTTGTTTGTTTTACAGTAAATATTTTAAAGTTTTGTTAACACACGTACACTCACACATACTCTTTAAAGGGCCCTTATGACGCTGGCTGTTTCAAGTTCTCTGTACTTTCTCCTACTAATACCAGACTTTCAGGACAGCCCTGTGAGCTGTTACAGCCTGTGAGAGGGAGCTTAGGAGAGGGGTCAGTGTGTCTCCATTTGGTGGACATTTTGTTGCCCCATAGTTCCTGCAGGGGCCTGGCCATAGGCTCCAGACAAAACCCTTGGGTACCAAATAGGCAATGCCTACTCTGGATGGCAAAGCAGTTGGGATGATGAAATACCCTGATCAACACGTCGGCAGGAGAAGGGGACATGGGTCCTGGGTACAGCTTAGTAGTGACTTTGATGGGAAATAGGAAGGGTCTTTGCCTTTGGGGTCTAGAATTGGGTTTTTTTGTTTTGTTTTGTTTTGTTTGTTGTTTCATTGCAATCAAAGGAAATCAAAGCACAGTGCGGTTCTAACTGGGAAGACATTCCTACATTTTGTCAAACCCAGAAGCAGCCATCCATTTCCTGAATCCCTATGGAATTTGTGGCTGGAGAAAATTAGAGCAATGGTGACATGATTGTTCTGTCTTCTGTCTCTAGCTGTGCTCCCCAGCCAGGAAAAATCAACACAGGGCCAGGTGGTTTGACCCGCCTCTGTAAGACCCTGGGGACCATGGGGACAGGAAAGCCACTAATAGTTTCCATGTCTCTTCCCAAAGCCACTCCTGACCTCCATCTATTTGTCTCTGATTGGAAGGTATTACTGAGCTGTCCCCACAGGATTCTGTCTTCTCCCTCTCTCCCCACTGCAGCGTCAGGGGTGGGGTGAGGGGTCAGGGCAGCATTAAGAACGAAGCTCATTTCAGAAATCTTGTTTCTCTTAACTCCAGTTACCCCTTTAGAAAGATTTTTGGCACGATATTTTCCCCGGGGGCCTTTGTAAGGCCGTTTCTAGGCCTAGATTGGTTTTGTTTTATTTGTTTCTTTCTAGCTCTATTTTATTTCATCTGGTGTGGGAGATTTTGTGTTTTGTTGTTATTGTTGTATGTCTTTGATTTTGCTGATTTTTTAAAAATTTATTCAGAGCTCTGATTATTAAGGTTTGGGTGAGGGAAACTGTGGCTCTTGGGAAATTCCCACTTGTTGACTTTGGAAAGGGGAGGGGAAGTTCTGACTCTGGCCTCCCAGTCAGGAAATGGGCTGAAGAATTCCTAGCACAATGTAAGAAAGACCTTTACCTAATGCATTTAGGGAAAGAACTCTTGACAATGGAAAGTTGAGCGTGCTTTCTTCTTTTTTTTTTTTTACTGCTCTCTAACAATAGGTAACTTGCAAGTTTTCCAGCATGATTTTCTTTTTTTTTTAGTTTAAAGTAATTATTTGTTTATTTCATTTGTTTTATTTTATTTTATTTTTTAGATTTACATCCAAGTTAGTTAGCATACAGAGCGATAATGATTTCAAGAGTAGAAAGCAGTGATTCATCCCCTACATATAACACCCAGTGCTCATCCCAACAAGTGTCTTCCCTAATGCCCCTTGGCCACTTAGCCCATCCCCCTACCCACAACCCCTCCAGCAACCCTCAGTTCTCTATATTTAAGAATCTCTTATGTCTTGCCCCACTCCCTCATTTCATATTATTTTTGCTTCCCTTATGTTCATCTGTTTTGTATCTTAAATTCCACATGAGTGAAGTCATATGATATTTGTCTTTCTCTGACTCATTTTGTTTAGCATAATACCCTCTAGTTCCATCCACATAGTTGCAAATGACAAGATCTCACTCTTTTTGATTGCCAAGTAATACTCCAGTGTGTGTGTGTGTCTATGTGTGTGTGTGTGTGTGTGTGTGTGTGTGTGTATACATACCATATCTTCTTTACCCATTCATCCATCAGTGGACATTTGGGCTCTTCCTGTACTTTCACTATTCTCGATACTGCTGCTATAACATTGGTGCATGTGCCCCTTTGAAACAGCATACCTGTATCCTTTGGATAAATACCTAGTAGTGCAATTGCTGGGTCATAGGGTAGTTTTACTTTTCATTTTCTAAGGAACCTCTGTACTGTTTTCCAGAGTCGCTGCACCAGTTTGCATTCCCATCAGCAATGCAAAAGTGTTCCTCTTTTTCCACATCCTTGCCAACATCTGTTGTTGCCTGAGTTGTTAATTTTAATCATTCTGACTGGTGTGAGGTAGTATCTCATTGTGGTTTTGATTTGATTTCCCTGATGATGAGTGATGTTGAGCATCTTTTCATGTGTCTTCTGTTAGCTGTCTGGATGTCTTCTTTGGAAAAGTGTCTATTCCAGAATGATTTTCTTTAATACCTAGATGGCCACCAAACCCCTAATCCCAGACTTGGCCATTTTTTAAAATCTAATACATTAAGCTTTTGCAACACAGACAAATTCCAATGTAATTGGCAACCATATGATGAACAAATGTAGGAAATACCCTACGTGTTAGGAGATTCTACATTACAGATTATGTAATTATGCATTTGACTAATATTTGTTTTCATTTTTAAATTCACGTTCTTTTAGGTTCCATGTGTTTTGGCAAATGTGTACAGTGCAACCACTAGCACAATCAGAATACACAAGCGCTTCCATCACCCCAAAAGTTACCCTCATTTTGCTCCTGTGTAGTAACCCCACACCTAACCTGAAACAATGCTGGTATGTTCTCCATCTTATAGTTTTGCCTTTTCAGAATGTCATTTAAATTGGAACATGCAGTATGGAGCCTCTGAGTCTGGGATTCTTCTAGCAGAATGCATTTGAGATCCATCCTTGTTACTGGGTCTGTAGTGGTTTGTTCCTTATTAGGACTGAGTTCCTTTTCATTTCACTGTATGAATATACATACTTTGTTCATCCACTCAGCACTTGAAGGACATTTGGGCCATTTCCAATTTTTGGTTTTTATGAGTAAAGCTGTTATATGCATTTGTTAACAGGTTTGGTGTGAACAAAAGTCTTTATTTCTCCTGAGTAAGTACAAGTGAGGTTGCTGGGCCATATGGTGAGAATATGTTCAACTTCTTCAGACATTGTCAAACTACTTCTCAAATGGTTGTACCATTTTGCAATGTGTTAGAGTTTTAGTTGATCTACATCCTCACCAGCACCTGGTATTATCATTTTTTGTTTTGGTTTGGTTTTAATAGCCATTCAAATAGGTGTGTAGTGGTATCTCATTATAATTTTAATTTGCATTTCCCTAATGTCTAATGATATTGATCATTTCCTACGGGTTTATTTGTCATCGATATATCTTTTTTGGTAAAGTATCTACTGGGATATTTTGACTATTTTTAAATTGAACAGTTTATTTCCTTTTTGTTCAGTTTTGGGAATTCCTTATATATTATATAAAAAGAATATATATGAATATGTATCTGTTTGTCAGATATGTGATTTGAAAATATATACCCCTATCCTGTCAGTTTTCTTTTTATTTTAAAAGTGTATCTCACAGAACAAAAGTTTAATTTTAATAAAGTCCAATTTTACCTTTTTTTCCTTTCTGGATCATGCTTTTGGTGACTATCTAAAGACTCTTTCCTTGACCCAAGTTCAAAGATTTTCCCTAATGTTTTCTTCTAAAACGATTATACTTGAGTGTCTTACATTTCAGTCACCAATCCATCGTTAGTAAATTTTTGGATAAAACGTGAGATCTATCTAGAAGTTCATTTTTTTTGCATATGGACATCTAGTTATTCCAGCACCATTTGTTAAAAACACTGTTTTTCCTCATCCTCTTTATGGAATCTAAGCAGGGAGGTTTGGTGAGGCATTTTTTGAAGATGCTGCTGCAGTTTGTCTCAAGAAACAGGAATAGAATGCATCATGAAAGGGGCGCCTGGGTGGCTTAGTCGGTTAAGTGTCTGACTTTCGCTTAGGTCATGATCTCACGGTTCATGGGTTCGAGCCCCACGTCGGGCTCTGTGCTGACTGCCAGCTCAGGGCCTGGAGCCTGTTTCAGAGTCTGTGTCTCCCTCTCTCTCTGACCCTTCCCTGCTCATGCTGTCTCTCTCTCTCTCCTAGAAATAAATAAAAACATTAAAAATTTAAAAAAAATGCATCATGAAAGAGATGATGAGTTTTCTGTTTCAAGAAAACTTCCAATAGCCAACACAATCTCGAAAAAGAAGAACAAAGTTGGGGCATCACACTCCCAGATTTTAAACTATACAAACTATAGTCATCAAAAGAGTATGGTATTGGCATAAGAACAGACACATAGATCAGTGGAACAGAATCAAGAGTGCAGCAATAAGCCCGCATATATATGACCAATTAATTTACAACAAAGGAGCCACAACATGCAATGGGGAAAAGGCAGTCTCTTTAATAAATGATGTAGGAAAACCAGACGGCCACATGCAAAAGAATGAAACTGGACCACTATCTTACACTATGTACAAAAATTAATTCAAAACACAATAAGGACTTGAACATGAGACCTGAAACCATCAAAGTCCTAGAAGGAAACAGGTGCTAAGCTCCCTGACATCGGTCTCGCTGATGATTTTTTGTTTCTGACACAAAAAGCAAAAGCAACAAAAGCAAAAATAAACAAGCAGGATTTTTTGTGGTGATCATAATATATACAAATACGGACTTACTCTATTGTATACTAGAAACTAACATAATATTCAATGTCAATAATATCTCAATTAAAAATAATATTAGAGTTAAAAAATAAATAAATAAAGGAGGCACCTGGGTGGCTCAGTCGGTTGAGTGTCCAACTTCGGCTCAGGTCATGATCTCATGGCTGGGGGATTCAAGCCCCATGTCAGGCTCTGTGCTGACAGCTCAGACCCTGGAGCTTGCTTTGCAGATTCTGTGTCT